GGTGCGTGTGTAGGAACTGAACCAAATATCAACTTAGAACCTCAGTTCATAGGTAGACACTAACGAAAACCCCTGATATTTCCCCCTTTTCACCAACCTATATGGTTCCCTTCCACCCTGCACTGCAGCGTCCCCAGTCCATCTTCTGTCTGAATAGGGTAGCTGTGGAGAGACAAAGAACTTTGCTGAGCCTTGGGAGCAAAAAGAGCAAAATACAGGGAGAATCATCTAACTGAGAAAATATGTGGGCTTATATATCTAAGCTAGTCACCCTTGGCTCCCTTTAGAAACAAGGGAGAAAAACAGGTGAGATGGGAGAGGACCAACCCATCTCCCCACTGATGATCAAGAGTTCAGCAGCTCAGGAGGATGCCTTCCAGCAACACACAGTGCTCTAGCTTGGCCTCTTTATTCCAGAAGTTGATCCTGTGGGTGACCTTCAGAAACCCCGTTTGAAATAAAAGCTGAGCAGAGACAAATCTGGGCACAGGGTGAGGGTAAACAGGAGGACAAAATTGTTTCACCTCTACTTGCCCCTGTGCATGTCCCTAATCCTTAAGAAGCAGGTAGCAATTAAACCAGATATGCTGGCATTACATCAACCTTCTGGAGCCATGGCATGACACAAGTCCCATCAACAACTCATACTGGCATTTAGGTCCCCTTCCTGGGAGCCAGGAGGAATTTTACAGTGCAATAAGAGGGTCCACTGAGGACCTCAGGAACCTTAACACTGACTTCTGTAGAAGTAGGTTTTTCCCCTGGTTCTCTGTAAAAGGAGCCTCCCACTTTTTCAGGGCTCACATGCACTGTAAGAAGTGCACCATTCATAGAAGAAACACTGCTGCACAGCCCATGGCTTTTTCTGTAATTCAACAGGGTGCAAGAGTCAATAGCCTGAAATATGTCCTGCAACTTACGGAAGACAAGGATACATTAATATCAATAAATGAGCAGTGCCAGGACCCAGGCACCAGAGCCTGTCTGCCTATGTTGTTAAATTTTTAGAGTGCTGCTTGCACAGTTTCTGCTCAGGTCAGCTAATACATCTTTCTAATTGGTGTCTACCTATGACTGAAGACAATGCATTGACCAGGGTCAATAGGTAGCTTGGAAATGGATACCCTGCTTTGGAGTCTAAAGAGTTGAACAGAACGGATGTGGCCATGGTACAGCATACCATCTCCAGGTCAGAGAACAGCTCCTGGCCCTGCCTGGTTACAGCTAGAGCCACAGAGAGCCAGGAACCCTCATCTACCCATCACAGACAACATGGTCAACTCCCCATGGTCTCTCTCCACCTTAACCTGAAGCAGACGAGCTTCTCCAAAAGCCAAGAAAATTTTTTGTGCACAAACTGTGCTGAGCCCTTGCACCCACACAAACCAAAGGTAAGTCAAGAACTGACATGCTTCCAGCTCGCCTGTCAGCAAAAGAGCAGAGACTGGTCCATCCATCTCCTTCCGCCATAAGGATAGCTGGCCTAGGCAAAAAATAAACAGGAAAGATGAGATATGATGCAACATAGAGCTTTGCAGATGAAAACCTAGTCCTGTTAAAATCGGCAGCCAATATTTTCAAATGTGACAGGAATTTCCCCTTACTTGTATCTAGCATTTATTAACCTTCCAGAAAACTGGACAAGCCCTTATCTCTTATCTTTTCACCTGCAACATGTATCCCCCAAATACTACAAGAACTGCACCTCTGTAAACATCATGGCAGGATCATCTTCGAGACACCCATGCCAGCTCTGAATGACCTGATACCTGCTCCCTGCAGGGAAGGGTTGGAGTCTGAGCTCCAGGAGGACTATACTCACCCTTACCTTCCAGGTGTCCCATGCCAGCTCTGAATGACCTGATACCTCCTCCCTGCAGGGAAGGGTTGGCAGTCTGAGCTCCAGGAGGACTATACCCACCCTTACCTTCCAGGTGCATCAGGCAGCACAAGTACAGCATCACGCTTGTACAGCCATACTCTTTCAAGATGCAGCTCAGTCACTTCTTTATTTCAGTGAGGAAAAAACACTACAAACAACCTCTGCTAGAAATCATCCGAGCTTCTCATAGCAAATTCAAGTATTCCCACCTTAAAGAGCCAATATGGCAAGGGGCAAATTCCAGTGGAGAGGAGGAATCAGGTGGGAGCAATAAATTCAGAGTAATTAGCATAAAAGACAAAAGTTGGCAGTGATTCTTTGAGAATGAACAGGTAATTAAGGAAAATATGTAATTAAAATCCGTAATGCAAACATTTTGCTATGACCCATACTTCAGAGTGTAATTTTATGAGGTTTTAATAAAAAAGTTTGCTTTTATTAATACAACTTGCTGATATTGAGATACCTTTCCTTTTAAAGATGAATAGAAAAAAAATTCAGTGCTTCAAAATTTTTGGTTTGGCATCACTGGACTATTGCATCCCATACAAGCATGGAAAAGGTGTGCAGAACACACTGGAAAGTATAAAAACCATTCTCTCTTTTGCTCCAAATGCTGAATCAGTGTTACTGAGTGACAGACTGCTCTGGTCAAGTCCAAGTCCCCACCTGCTACGTATTTACTAACACACCAAAAATGGGCAAAGTATTCCCGTGAAGCTACAATGTGAACCTGTCTGGTATGCTAAGGCCATTTCCTTTTTGTTAACAGTGAGGTTAAGCTGTAAATGAGTAATCTCGCAATGGAGCATGCAGGCATGCCCAACCTGCAGTCAGACAGATCAGCCTTTCTTTCCACTGTTCAAAGGTTTCACAGTTCCACTTGAGGCAGGTAAAACAGTAATTAATATCGAACAAAGGATGCCAATGTACATCCAGTGAGCAAAAATGCAGGGCTGATAAATGGGTGCAGCTGGTATGGCAGGAATCTGCACTGGACTTTCATTCACACTAGCAGAGAATTTAGTTACTTAGCAAGGGATACTTTCATTCAGCCTGAGAAGGAGTTAAAAAGCATCTAGTGGTCAAATATCTGCTGCTGTAATTAAAACTTGTAACTGCTGAGAATACGCACCTTCCCTGGTTCCTGAAATGATCCTTAAAATGTCAGCACAGTAACTGTATATTAATAGTTTATCTTTAAAATATTCACCTGGACTTAGTTCTTCACTGCTATTGACACAAGTGCAAGGAAATCATAATTCAGTAGTAACTGAAAACACTTGAATACATATGGAAATACATATGACAGATGGCAGGTCAGTGTTCATGCTCATTTTGGATTCACTGTGCTTCAAGTGCTGCTAGTCTGAAGTAAATTTTTTAAATCTACCTCCTTTGCTCTGCTGTGTGTAACCATAGAAGCAGCAGAAAATAAAAACCAAACCTTCCTTGAGATCAAGGAAGTGACCAGGGACGGTTTAAAACAGTGAACAACAAAGCCTTTTGTCTCAAAAGGCTTCTGCTTTGTCTTCTGACTCACCAGAGCATCTGTTTCAAACTAATAGTTTTTCTAAAAATGCAAATAGAAGGGAAAATTTATTTAACTTTTAGATCCTGACATTATTTTAATTAGTTAAATTTTAATTTGCTAGCCAAAATAAAATCTACAGCAACCAGACGCAATTACAGTACAATTCACACTGAGCTGTGATTGACTGTGCTGCCAGTAAACAAACCAACTAGCTTAATGGACCAGTTGCAATTAGATTAACAAAGTTTGCTGGAGCCCAACTCATGAGCTGCAATAAACCACAAAGGAAGTAAATGGCAGTTCTGGGCCAACTGGTTGCAATTTATTGCTGTCAAGGAGGTTGATGGAAGAAATACCAATTTACAGGGACTGGGTCAGATAGCAGTCTATATATAATTACCCATCAATATAATCCACATTGAAGTCCAGGGTCTCATATCTTCCAGCAATTGTCTTCCCATAAATCTCTATTAAATTTCCTGTTTAAAAGGAAATGGAAAACAAAGGGAGTCTTTTAAAAGCAGAGAATTTATTTGCAGATTTTGTGAGCCGAACAAAAGAAATTCTTGGTCTTTGCAAATTTTGCAGAGAGCTGCCTAACTGGCTGCACTGATGGCTCCTCTTAGCTTCTTCAGCTTCTACCATAGTTCAAGGTGACTTTGCACTTAATTAACTTTTCCCAAAACACAAGTCTTTGCTTCCCTCAAAGTCCATTCTTGATTTTTTAGCAGATCTCTAGTATTTGTACTGAGAAGATATTTTCCTCAACTCTTTTGTTAACTAAACCCCACATTCTAGCCAAATTCCACTGTAGAACCTCATGAGGCCACCAAAATGACATCGTTTGTACCCTAGACAGCGTCAAGGTCTAAAAAAGGACCTCAGCATTTACGTGGCCAGCTGAATCACTCCCAGCACTCCCTTGACCACAGCTTGGTTCAGTTGTCTTAAATCATTTGAGGTACCATATCCTCCCACTGTGGCTCCAGAACGGAATGAATCTTCCTGGTCCTGTGTCATATCTACCTGCTCCTTCATGCTCCTTCATCTACCTGCTCCTTCATGCTCCAGGTCATCTCAAATAGCACTAGACACTTAGTGTTACTCTCATATTCTTCATTGATAATCTTTGAGGTCTCTTCCAACCATAATAATTCTATGATTCTATGACTACACTGGGAGGTCAAACGTCCAGCTAACACATAGAAACCTCCATACAGGCACCCTAAAGCAAGGCATGAGAATCTGGAGCTGAACTGCACCTGAAAAAAGTTGGAAATGAGGGATGGACTTAGATTTAGAAGCATCTATGTGATCTAATCATCCATGTGCCTCTCTGTACTCTTGAGAGATCAAAATGTTTTGATTAATCTTGACTTTGGAAATCAGCATTTCAATTTTCTCTAAAGCAGCCTGCAAATACAAACAGAATAGAAATAAGGTGGAAAAGTCTTCCATACACCAGTTAACTGTTCAGACCAAAACCATTGACAGTCCTCTCACGTAACCTTAAAGTTTGATCTAAAGCCCCATTAACCGAAAGGTCTGTATGGCATTACAATATCATCACCTAATAGCTAATTCTTCTTAAAACTATTACTAAATAGGGTCAGATGACTCAAGAATTGAGACTGGTTAGACCTATCCATCTGATGAACAACATTTCTCTACTCAGGCAGCGTTGGGCTACAGAAGCCAAGTACTAAATAACCTGGCCACTGTGCGTTACCAACTTCTCTTCTACCCAGTGCCACAGACTCTCTCCCCTTGTGCAAACCTATTTTCCTGTTCAGCATGAGCTTCGACATTAAGTTCTGGAGGTGCCCATTTTAATCCCCAGCAAGACAGATCCCTACTAAGGAGAAAGACAGTATGGAACATCAAATAATAATTAAAGTGGGCCGCAGTTTAAAGAAAGGTCGCGTACCTGGGATGCCAGATGGTGGACTAATTTGGTAAACCACAGGTGTCTGCGCAGCAGAGAACTGCAAAGAGAAATTTGTAGTTAAATGGCAGTCATTTTCGCAGCAGTCCAACAAGATCTGATTATGCATCGCTCACAACACAGTTGGCAACCGCATTTCAGAGACTCACACTTCAGATTTGATCTTTGAAGCAGAGTCCTGCTCTGAGAAGGGAGTAAATGCAAATATACCCTTCTTGCCCCCTCTGCTACATTCAGGGTAGGTCTTACTGCTTTGGTGCCCAAATTGTCCACTCTGGCTTGAGTCAATTCCAGAAGACATGGTTTAATACACTATAAAATTTCTAAGTCATGCATTATCTGAAGTTGAGATCTCCATTTTATCTTGCATTATGGCACCATTTTTCTTCCCAATAGTATACCCTTAAAACTATTAAAAACTTTAAAACTATTTCTACGTCACAGAAGTGAAATACTTCAGCTAGCCTTTAGCAGGCTTGTTGGGTACCCTAAAGCAGTGTAGCAAAGAAAATGCTTGTATTGGCCCGTCTTAACGAAGTATGATACATCAGAGGTGTCTTTGGGAAAGCTCTACCTTGGTCTCTGAGGGAAGAGCAAGGAAATATACTGAAAACCTGCTATAGGGTACTATTTTTGACTCAAACAGAGGCTAAGAAGGAGCAGAGTGCTTTGAAGCAAGCCTCTCAGAAGCTGAGGAACACACAGGAATGCTTTCCAAGTGGAGGAGCAAAGGCAAGATCATGCCATACCCTGGGCTGGAGCTGATGTGGAGAAAGAAGCCAAAAAGAGCATGAAAGCTAGGGCCACTAGCTGACACAAGTCTTCCGAGCTGTTCAGACTTGTTGCTGCCTGCAGTGGGCTTTTTTCAATCTAATGTGGAGGCAAAATTAATTTTTAATACACATAGCTCCCAGGTCCCAGTTCCAAAACAAAGAGACACATTGTGTTTTATTTAGCTTGGAATGTGCCTCATTAACAGCATCCCCTGGTGATTTTTCATCAACTCTCTAAGCTAGCTGAACCACCCAACGACTCTTCAGCTTTAATGTGCAATTTACTGAAAACACTGGGCTTTCTGGCTCGATACTCAGTTAGCACAGAGGTGGGATGTGACTTCCAAACACACCATGCCTCATCCTAAGCACACAGCCACGGTTAAGGATTCTGCTCTGCAAGAGATCCTGACACCATCATCATTAACTGGTCTGATACCTTCATACCCCACAACCTCCTGAGACAATGTGTTTTGACATTGAGAGCCAAAGGGAAAATACTGGTCTGGGGCAGGGGAGTAGCAAGCTCTCAAAATAACTGAGCAACAGATATGAAATCACAACTGAGATCTGAGCTTTCCGAATCTTGCTCATCTTAGTTGTGGAGAGCTGTCCTAGACCTGAAGAGATGTCCTTTCCTGGAACTGGTTGTGCCCATGGCAGCAATTCTTGCGCACGGTTACCTGTCAATGCAGACTGTTAGCTGCCACCCTGCAGCTGAGAGGGTAACACCAGAAGAAGCCAGCATAGGGTCTTCTGACTGTATGGTTTAAGTGCAGAGACAGATTAACTTGAACCCAGATTTTTGATTCAGAACGACTTCTTAGGTCATCTAGTCTATCCAGTGCCAGAGTGATGAGTACCTCTGTGCACCTAGTTGTAAGGGAGAGAAGAAGCATCCTACCTTCTTGTCCTGACACACAATCAGACATACAGCATATGAGAGATCATATTTCAACATATTCCCTGTGATACTATGTCTGAAGTTTGACTCCCTTCAATACATTGAATTCTTTATCATCATTTCTATACTTGCTTGGTGATTACCTTGAAAGTATAGTTTTCTTTCTCCACCTCAGTCAGGTTGTTGATCACATGTCCTTTAAAGGTCACCTCCACGTAGTACAAACCCTCCTGGGGTGAAGACCTAGATGGAAGAAAATGTGTTATATTATTTTTATACAGATTGGGTTTATTTTGTAGGAAATGTCAGGTCCTTCACAGGGTCTCTATTCTTAGCAGGTCTACTGAGGTTTCAATAGAGGAAATCTACACTGTGAACCCAAACGTTACACATATGAACCCAAACTCTAAAACTACAATTTAAAAGAACTGTTGAGACACAGCAAGAAATTACAGTTAAGTGCAGAAGGTGATATGACTACATCAGAACTCTATCCAAATCATATGTTAATGCAAAACACAGACATGTTCATTAGACATACTCAGACAATAATTGTTATTCATTAGTATTAAAATAACCCAGGGCTGCCTGGATCTACAGGGCATCTTGATCCTGGTTTGTAAATTAATGCTGCATCCTTAATGTGCACAGTTTCTCAGAACAGCATTCAGCAGAATTAACTCCCAGACAAATCATAGCAGCAAGAGATGGAAGAGCCCCATTAGGGACACTCTTACAGCCTCGAGACACCTCTAGCCTTCCAGTCAAACAACTTCTCTAAGGTTAGGACAGGATAGAAAACAGGGAGCTTAGATTGCCCAGCTGGTGATTGAAACCGTATTCGTTTCCTGCTCTACTCATAACCTCTATGACCTTGGACAGTTCAAGAACACCAAAAGCTGGTAAAATCCCCACCAAGATTTTCTTGGGAGTTTTGCATCCAAGAATTAGATGTCTACAAACCTTTGAAGATCTGAGTCTAGCTTCTCCAAGAAGCCTCACTCTGACTCTCATGCTAGGTAGCCTAGCGTTATTAAGTTGAAACAAGAATAAAAGCAACACAGCTTAGGAGCTGCTCAGGTGCAGGCACAGTAACAGTCAGAGGAATTCCTTCAACTCCCAAACTGCCTGTCAGACACTGAAAGAAAATGAGGATTCTACCAGACAAATGACAATGTCTCACCCACACTATGATCATAGATCATACCTTGTTCTGCATCTTATAGTGGCCAAGTCAAAATACAGAGGAGAGACATCACACGGCAACCTGGGCAGGTCTGGGTTGACCAGGGACACCTCCAGCTGGGACACGTTGGCTGAAGAAACATATTCTAGCTGGTGGGATGTTGAGCCTAAGTAATTAAAATCAATTAGAAGAGTGCTGTGAGGACAGGATCACTCACATTCAGTCACACATGACAAATATTTTTGAATGTGTAACCCAGCTTCTCTTTAGGAGCAATACTTAGAGCCCTTAATCAGGGTTTTTTAAATTATGTTTGTGTAATTTCATATGGTTGTGGTTTAACCTCAGCCAGCAACTAAGCACCATACAGCTGCTCACTCATTCCCACCCTGCCCTGGGACCGGAGAAAGAATTAGAAGGGTAAAAGTGAGTAAACAAATAGGTTGAGATAAAAACTGGTTAATAATGAAAAGAAATAATAATAATTTATTATATTAGGAAAAGAGGACAAAAATAACAAAGAGAGATGAAAATAAAACCCAAGGAAGACAAGAGATGCAAATGAAAACAGTTGCTCACCACCAACTGACCAATGCCCAGCCAGTCCCTGAGCAACGGCCCCACCCCATCAACCTCCCCCCTAGTTTTATTGCTGAGCATGACGTCATATGGTACGCAATATCTCTTTGGTCAGCTGGGGTCAGCTCTCCCAGCAGTGTCCCCTCCCAGCTTCTTGTGCATCTCCAATTTACTCGATGGTGGTGTGGTGTGAAGAGCAGAAAAGGCCTTAACTCTGTCTAAGCGCTGCTCAGTAGTGACCAAAACGTCCCTGAGTTATCAACACTGTTTTCAGCACAAATACAAAACACAGCCCCATACAAGCTACCAGGAAGAAATTTAACTTTATCCTAGCCAAAACCAGCACACATATTAAGATCAAGTTCATCCCACCATGCAGCTGCATGGCTTTTTTTGGTCTCTCCCATATGAATTTTACTGCAGAGATTGACAGTTTTGAGAGTTTGAATCACCTCAGCCATCTACACCGGAAAAAAACACATGCCCATAGATACTTAAAGCACCTGCAAAATTAGTACCGTTTGACACTGTCTTTGCAGTTTCTGATGTCTTGCATAGTTTTGCTGACAGGACCTCAAGTTGCCCTGTGCTGTAAGGTGGATTTGCTTAGCACATTTCTTGAGAGTGAGCTGCCTAAAGGATCAAAGAATTTTAATCTTCAGAAAGTCAAGCTTTATCCGAACATAAACCAGAATGCTTAACTTCTGTAGCATAATCAAATACAACTAGAAACGAAGAAGGCTTACAAATAACTCTCCCTTTGCTCACGATCTTCACAGGTGCTTCCCAGCCCACAGACTCACGTTAAATGACATCATTGATTTCTCAATTCCCAGAAAACTGCACATTTCCTCCTGGTCCCAGGAAGGTTTTTCCCTTTCTCCCAAGACCTGGCTGTCCTCTTTGCCCTACCAAAAAAAGAGACTCTGCTTGAACCGTGACTGTCTATGCCTGCCACACAGGGAAACATTGCCCTTGAAGATCTGAGCTTCCTTTTGTGCTGGTTTGGCTTAAACAAGACTGTTTCTCCTTTCAGGCCTTTTTCTTTCAGTTAAGCTTCTAAGTAACTGCACTTTCTGACAGTACAGCTACATGTTTTTCAGACACTGTCTGCGTTTCAGGCCTGATAACGCTCGATGTTTATAGTTGCTACTGAAGTATCAGTAGGATTGGTATGCAGAATGGCCCGTGTTTATACTTATCCCCATGAGAACCAAGGCCACTGCTGGCCCTCTTGTTAAGTGAGTAAAAAGTCGTAAAAGGGTCGCACCTGCGGAAGAGTGCAGATGGGACAGGTGACCAAAAACTGACCAGCGAGGTATTCCATCCCATCCACGTCATCCTCAGTATAAAGCTAAGGGATCACGAGGGTCTCGCTCTCTTCTTTCATGGCCGGCATCCCTGTGGGACCCTGCTCGCTCTCCTGCCTCCGACCCCGATCCGTGCATTCCTGAATCCGGTTCCTTTCGGCTGCAGAGCCCGGTCCGGGACGTTCGGGTGCCCTCCCTGCTGCGGCAGCGGCCGAGCCTCTGGGGGGTGTGGGTTGCAATCCCCCCACCCTCATCAGGACACTCAGTATCGGTTTTATATACTTTTCCTCTTATTTCCATTATTACTAGCATTACTATTAATACTTTATACTATTTTCCATCACTATTGTATTATTAAAGTAGTTTTAATTTCCAACCCGTAAGTCTCTCTCCCTTTTCTCCGTCCTTTCCCCTCCCGGGGGAGACAGGGGGTTAACGGAGAGCGTCTGCCGCCCGTTTTAAGTGCTGGCCCAGCCTTTCGGTGACACCTTTCTTCCCTCCATTTCATCATTCAAATATTGTGTATTCCCATAGAGATAAGACTGATACCATTCATCCCAGATATAAACGACCAAGTGTCAGAACTTGAGCAGCTAAATCAAATCTACAGCTGGTTGAGAAACCAACTCTCTTCCCAATGAATCAATATTCAGCACTACAGAAAGTCAGATATAGCTTTGTAAGGCTGTTTTTCGGGTCCAAATGAGCACGACATATATATTTCTGTGATTTTTACTCAGATCTCGTGTTTATCATTAGTGTTTTTAAAGCTCCAGCATCACAGAACCTATGAACAGAGATTTTCAGCTTTTCTTCAAAAAGAGTGGCAGGGAGGAAATTTCTAGCCCTACATCTGCAAGAATAAGATAAAAATCTGACTTCTCTCACTTAGAAAGAACTTAAAAACAAGCAACCATCAGCAATAGTTTACAAAGTAATATTTTCAAGCTGATTTAATGTTATGAGTGCCACAGCCCATGGCTCTGTTGCTCAGGGTTTGTCATTCCAACCGCAAATCTCAGAATGGAGCTGATTCTCTCTTCCTTTGACATGTGCTTCATAAGAGTTTAAAACTCACCGTCCAGAGTAATAGTAATCCACGTTCCTCCAGCGACGCTGCCCTCTCGGGGCTTAATGAGCAATCCCGTGGCTGTCACTGCAAAAACAACCCAGCTACATCAGGCTGAAGTGTAACGCAAACATCTAAAATTTCGCAATCAGGATGAGACATAGTGGTCTGAAAGCTGTCCTCCTGTGATTCCATCCTTCATCTCATTTCTCCTTCTCAGACATTCAAATTGGTCAATTTGCTCATCCTTTTTGCCCCAACTGTCTCCCCCATGTAACAGTCCTGCTTCCCCTCAGGGGGATTTTGATGTCTTTGGGACTTGGCGAACCAACCTATAGTCTGATCCTCCTGTCCTCCTCAAAAATTAAAATAAAGACAATAAGCCGCACATTTATTCCTTCAGCTCTCAAGGAAATGTGTTTGCTGACTTCTGTATACTTTCCCAAACATAGGGCCGCCCACAAAATATATCCTCTTCTGGTTCCAAGACAGCCTGTCCAGCTCTTTCTTGATAAAGTCCTTAGGAAAGAAATACAGGCCTGGAAAGGAGCTCTTGTTTCATGAAATTAAGTCACCTGTAACTTGCTATATAACACCTTTTATAAAGGCATCAAATTCTTAAGATAATTTAGGATTTCTTTTGGAGACCCTCATCCCCTGAAGCTAATACAGATGAACCAGTGGCTGGCTTCTTTTCTTGTAGACAAATACCAGAACTTTCCAGAAGTCTTTTTACAGTGATAATCAGTTTCCTCTTTAGCATTTCAGGAGATTTCCAACTTCTTAGCTGCACGTGAATGCAACCTCACCGAACACCAGTATTGATCACTGAAGCCAAATATTGGACACACTTGCATCATGAACCCTTAGTATCAACACGCAAACAGTGATGTGACTATCATCAAGTGAATGAAAACTAATAAGTGTGAGATGAACCCAGGTAGAACAGGAAAAATTAACAATGAATCCAGAAATCTCCACTGGCTATGGAAATAATGCCATGAAAAGCCACTGATAAGAGTGGACAACATCCAGTATGCTGTAGTCAATATCCTATAACATTCAACACCTTTTAGAGACACTTCTCCATGTCTGTCACCCACAGTCAGTCTGTATCCCAGTAACACCGGATTTTGCTGGTGTTATATGACCAGCATGGTTGGAGACAACACCTCTCTATCACCCACCTGCAAAGAATATCAGCTCAGCACTCAGAAAGGATGGTCTCCAAAGGTCCATTTTGGACTTTGGATGGGGATTTCACAAGAGTCTGGCTCCAGGATCATGGCTTGGGGCTTTAGGACCTTCCCTGTAACGTTAAAACAAAGTCCATCTGTATTCTTTCTTCACACTGCAAACCTGTGGGACTAATGATCTGTGTTATAGTAGACAAAATGGACTGCAATGTGGAATCAAAGAAAAAACACTGATTCATCTCTCACACAGTATAAAGAATGAATATGTTGCAAACCATACTCATTTTCCTCCCACCCAACGGACGTATATAGAACATCTGCCCCTCTGAGCAGACCACTTTCCAGCCAAGCTGAGGATGAACTTTCCCCCACCGGGATGATGTTTCAGGAGACTAACTCTGATTAAGCATTAGGCTTAGAGTCAATGGTATTAAACTCTCCCAGCTGTGTATTGCTTCCTGTGAAATTGTTGCATTTATTAATACTAAATCATGCCATGATCATTCTCCAGCTCCAAAGCCAAATGGCAGGACCTGACTACATTATTAAGCTCTCTAACCTTCCACAGCTAGCCCCAAACAGGGAATGGCCCGTGCTGGCTCTTCAGGTGTGCCTAGGAATTGTTTGGAAGAACACTGGTAGACTTGATCACAACAGCAGTGAACTGTTCTAACAATTTAAGAAAATAAACATTTGAGCCCTTGTAGATGAGGAAGTTCCTTGGTCTTGCTATCTTAGCCAGACATATCACACATTCTCTTTATAAAGTCTGTGCCAGGAGTTGTTTTAACATTTAAAAATATAGACCACCAACTTCTACTGCCTTCACCCTGGGTTTTGTACTAGTATGGAAATAACCATTTGTCAATTAATTTGACTGCATTTTTAAAGTAGTAAGAACCTCAAATTCTCACCAGTGAGCACAGAGACCGGGACTCCTGCTTTTCATGGGGGACTGTTCCCCTAACCCAGAACATCTCTTGGTTGTTAAAATTCAGTTCAGACCACAAAAGCCCCAGTCGAAGATAAAATCGTATGGCAAAAAGCTAATTTTGGATTTTGGATTGTTGTTATGGTAGGATCTAAAGGGTAAAATTCACAATTACTGTATGAGGCACTGTATAATCAGTAATTCTCAAAGGGAGAATCCATGTCCCCCACACAGAACCGCAGAATAATGCAAAAGCAGATAGCTTTTCACATCCCTGCTCCACCAGTCAGTTACTGAAAAGACCAGAACAGACCTCAACTCTCTTAAGGCCCAGTTCCTCTGTAGGATGATGGTAGTGGTTTTGCTTCACCCAATATATACATTGCACTGATTCAAGCCCTCTCGTACCTTGGTGAGTGCCTGTCAGGTCACCTGAGAAAGCCTAAACAACTATCCATAGCACTGTCTGCTCTGCTGGCTTCTGTAAATGTCCGTAAGACCCATCAAAACGAAGCCAATTGAGTTGATTAACAGTTACATTAAAGAAAACAACACTATTGAAGAAAAAAAAAAAAAGCTGGCTCTTTGTTTGCTACTGCTACAGTGGTTCAGAATACCTGATGCCTTAAGTCATTTTTAAAAAGGACTGACACATGCGGAGAAATGATCTGTGGTCTATAGGCACAAAGTGCTCTTGAACACCGATTAGAAGATGTGGGCAACTTGTGGTCAAGGGTGCTGGGTACTGTTGGGGCATTGCATATTCCTTACTTAAGAGGAAAGTAGAGGGCAGGGAACTTGCTTCTTTCCTCCTGTTTCTGCCTGTCTGGCCTTTGCCAGATAATGCAGTAAGGAGTTTCAAGGCAGTTGGTGGAAGGTTGGAGAAGCAGCGTTCTTCAAGCACTTAGGAACACCCAATATTGATTTGGTAATTGGGATATTTTTGATAGCAATATACTGACCTCATGGGAAAGGAGGAAAATGAATAGAGAACAAGGCAGCAAACCATTTGGTGATAACAGCAGAAGAGGACAAAATCCAGAATAAAGCCATGTCCACATTTGTTGCACAACTCAATAGAAGCAGATCCGTAAAGCAAAACAACCAGTGCTGAAGACCCAACATCCACACTGCAAGTGTTTAGAGGTGCCCACAGCACTAGCTCTATCCTGTTCCCAAGGACTGAACATCTGTTAACGGCTGGAGTGTTGTTTGGTGCATTTCTTTGAATTTATCCAGAAGGATTGACATCTGTTCACTGAGACAGTTCTGTGGTGTGAAACAAACCACCTTATTTGGAGCTGAGACAACTTGCTTCAAAAGTGCACTCCTGGTCTAAAATGGACACCAAAGGAGACACTGCAGACTCTAAAGCACCTCTCCCTCCCATAGGAGTGGGGAATTTTTTGCAAGATTAGAGTGGAATGCAATGCACCCATAGTGGGTGTTTAAGAAACCAAGTCTGCTGGTTGGTCTTCTAGGAAAGATAAACTTTATATCAAAACTAATTGTTTTTCACATGCTGCCTCCCCTATTGCTATTACCATAAACATGGTTTTAGGATGATCGGAATACTATACATCATGGTCATGCATTCTCAAACAAAAAGCCTCCTCAGAGCTGCTGAGTAAGAGTAGAGATACACAAGGCTGCACGGTGGAAGAAGCGTGGGTTAGCACCCTAGAAAAGATGCAACAATGACACTCTTAGAGATGAGAGTAGGGCAGAAGTTCTAGTTACCCCATGACTATGGCAAACACGTTGTCCCCATAAAGCCAACCTCTAAGCTTCTACTACTTATTCTACCGCAAGACCTACTGTAACTATTCTATGTTTCTTGCATATTTTAACATAACTGCAATTTGTAGGAGGCAGAGTCCAGAGCCCTGATGCATGTGAACCTTGCATTTCAAAGCAGCTGCATAAAAGATCATTAGGTTTGCTTTTATTATTCTTATTAGGACTTTTTCTGGTATTACTTACCTTATCCAATTTGTTGTTCTTCCATTCCTCCAATGAACGAAGTGCAGAGGCTCCAATACTAGCATAACTCTTCCATCCCTTTGATGCCAGCTCTATTGCAGTTTTTGGTCTGAGGTCATGTTAGGCACTCAGTTCAGTTCCTGTGTGGGTAACTGAGTCACAGTGTGCCAAAACCCACCAGACTAGTTTCTCAAAAGGCTCAAAACCTGTCACAGACAGCTCAGAGCTGTCCAATGGGCATGCTTAATTATTAACCTAAGCTATTTGCTGCTATTAACTGTTTTGTTCCAAGTCTTTAAAGGCCATATGAGAGTAACCTGGAATTGTTCTTCCATTGGTATATGACTAGATCCTCCAACAGGAGGACATTGAATCCATTTTATCCTCTTTTTCTCCCACAACATGACAGAAAAACTGATAGAATTGTTTCTTAATATGCTGATATCTAAGCTGGGAGTGACTTTCACAGCAAGTGGATGTCAAGGTTTCCTTATATACTCTTAATTCAATTTTTCCATGGCATTCCCAATAATGTCTGCATTTGGCAGGAATTCTGCTCAAAGAATACTCAGATCCCATACCACATCTCTAGTACCTACACATCTACAGATCCTTATACCGTGAGTGGTGCAAAAGAGCACAGTGGCCTTACACAGTGTTGTCATTCCTGGGAGTGACTTTCACAGCAAGTGGATGTCAAGGTTTCCTTATATACTCTTAATTCAATTTTTCCATGGCATTCCCAATAATGTCTGCATTTGGCAGGAATTCTGCTCAAAGAGTATTCAGATCCTATACCACATCTCTAGTACCTACACACCTACAGATCCTTATACCATGAGTGGTGCAAAAAAAGCACAGTGGCCTTACACGGTCTTGTCATTCACCCCATGGAGAACCATGTGCCTTCACCGGCTGCAGGGAAGACCCAGCTCAGCCTACGCCAGGTGCTGAATAGCTGTGTGAACATCACCCCTATTCCCACCTCTACATCCACTTGTTTGAAGCCCAGATGGCTTTTGATGGAGCCACCAGGAACACGATGTGTTGCTGAGCCCCTGCACTGGTATGGATGCCTTCGTGGAAGTTTCCATTGCAATCCAGAGAAAGCTCTCAGACACCACAGCATAACTACAGTTTAATAAGTTACCATGCACTAGTCAAACAACAGCAATATATATGCATGCTCTTACCTCATCCCCAAAGGGAGGTGAAACAGGCTTGCTTGCCCTTCCTCAGCCTCAATTCAGAGACACAGCAGCACAAAGCCATGGGCAACCAACCTTCAGGGAAGTTCTGGAGCTCTGCCCAGCAGTGGAACCAGTTGTGTTTGGTTTATTCTTAGGTCAAGCCCCAACATCTCAGTGTTATATAGCCAGTGATTACAGGAACCCAATGCAAGTTAACCCTATCCTACTCAATAGTCTACACTCAGTTTACTTATTAGCTGGAGTTACACTGGAAACGTGGTCAGAAGACAGAGTAAACTTGAGGGAATTCTCAAACAAAAAAGTACTGTCAAAGAAGAGACAGTTCAAAGATGATAACTTGAACACAGCAGACAGAGTCAAATGCTGGTAACAGGGGCCAGTGACAGCCTCAATTGAGGAGAGGGACCAGGTCCAGGGTCCCACCAGGGAGGCCCCTCAGGAGCAATAGACAACAGGGCTGGAGGGTCAGATACAACATGGGTCCGTGATCCAGCTAGAAGGCAGGACTAGAGATGGGACTGAAGACCAGTATTCCTGCAACATAGCTCAGGGAGAGTCTGCAGGTCCAAAGCTGAGGTTAAATAAGGCTCCTGACCCATGGGCAGGGTGTGGGTGGGTGTCTCAGGTGAGGCTGATCAGGGCTGTTAAGGTTTATTGCTGCCCTCAGGGCCCTGCCATTTCTGCTCCCAACATACTTGGTCAATCAAACTCTCTAGGTCATAGTGAGAAAAAAAAATGAGTTATCACCTCTGTCATTCTGTACAGAATTTTGTGATACAATCCTAAGCAAATGCTTTATACAGGAAAAAAATCAACAAAATGTCCAAGGTTTGCAGATCCAAAGGATTTGACTGGGATGAGGAGTTTATTCTTTGCAGAAAGTCACAGATTAGGTAAGACACTGCATAGGGAACCATC